TGATCAAGGTGGGTATTACTTGGGTATGATGTTGATCAAGGTGGGTACTACTTGGGTATGATGTTGATCAAGATGGGTACTACTTGGGTATGATGTTGATCAAGATGGGTACAACTTGGGTATGATGTTGATCAAGATGGGTACAACTTGGGTATGATGTTGATCAAGATGGATACTACTTGGGTATGATGTTGATCAAAGTGGGTATTGCTTGGGTATGATGATCAAGATGGGTACTACTTGGGTTTGATGTTGATCAAGGTGGGTACTACTTGGGTATGATGTTGATCAAGGCGGATACTATGTAGGTATGATGTTGATCAAGATGGATACTATATAGGTATGTTGATCAAGATGGATACTACTTGGGTATGATGTTGATCAAGGTGGGTATTGCTTGGGTATGATGATCAAGATGGATACTACTTGGGTATGATGTTGATCAAGATGGGTACTACTTGGGTTTGATGTTGATCAAGGTGGGTACTACTTGGGTATGATGTTGATCAAGGCGGATACTATGTAGGTATGATGTTGCTCAAGATGGATACTACATAGGTATGTTGATCAAGATGGATACTACTTGGGTATGATGTTGATCAAGGCAGATACTACATGGGTATGATGTTGATCAAGGTAGGTACAATGTGGGTTAAGGCAGGTGTGATGCTTTAGGCACATGGAGACTGGTATGACTTGATCTGAGGTGGGTACGTAGTAAGAGGAGGCAGGTACAACTTGGTCTGAGGTGAGTAGGATGCATTTCTAGATGGGTACCATGAGAGTAGGTGAGTACAACATGGTCTGAGGCAGGGAAAAAGTAGTGACACAACTTAGTCTTTGATAAGAACATCAAGGGAAGCGGGAACAATATGGGTCAAGGCAAATATGACGAGAGAAGCAGCGGGTACATTGTGAGTTTGAGTGGGTAATAGGTGGGTACGACATGGGTCAAAATTGTTTGCCTAAGCTAGAATAAGAGTTAAGACTGGTACCGTGTGAGAGGCAGTAGGTACTACATGGTTCAAGGCAGGGACAAAGTGAGTCTTGGCTGGAACAACGTGGGTTAAAGAGGGTACAGAACGGATTGAGGTGAATGCAAAGTGAGCAGAGGTGAGTACAAAGTGGGTTAAGGTAGGTACGATGTAGCTTCAGATGGATACTGTATAGATTGAGGAGAGTTTTATTAGAGCTGTGGCTTCTTTCAGCAGCCAAATTGTCTGGGTACGTGTTGACGAAAGCTGCAAAGGTACAATTTAGGAAAGGTGTTTGACCTGGAGTCTAGTTACGTCTGTTATAACTTGGATCATTAGAATTAAGAAGGGTCTTTAGGTCGCTCGTTTCAGAGTTTATAAATAAATTCAATTCAAAGACGTCTGTAGTGTATCCTTTAAAGCTTTTAGACTTTTGTGTTTAACGTTTTGTTTTTGTAGGGCGAGGTGTGTTTACCAAAGAGCCCATTGAGTCGTCCACCTTCGTCCTCGAGTTTCGGGGGGACATCTGTCGTCGCGACGACACCCCCGAGGAGGAATGTGGAGATACTTTGAACAATTTAGTGTTTGATTTTTCATGGAACGGAACAAACTGGCGGTGAGTATTCAACTTTATTATAAATATAATTTTTATTTTTACACGTCTTTCAGAAGATGGACGTGTTGTCACGTTCGCTTGTATCTTCTGATCTGCTCAAGACGATTTAACGTTTGCACCACCGCTAAACGGGGTGTCGCTTTTAGTGTTCCTGGTTTGAATAATTACAATAAAGACGCAACAAGTCGTAGCTTTAGTTTACATTTTTACAGCTTCATCGCCATCATCTGCCTCACTGCTTGTCTTGTAGCCTTGATGCTTCAGCAGAGGACGGGGGTTTGGGCAGAGTAGTTAACGAAGATCACAGGAACCCAAACTGCGAAGTGATGAAGGTTAATTACAAGGGGAAACCTCACCTGTGCCTGTTTGCACAAAAGAAAATATCTCCAGGAGAGGAAATAACCTTCAGCTACGGGAGCTCATCGAGGCGCTCAGAGGTGAATGTTTTCTACGCTATGACCAGTTTTTATTTTTTAAAGCTATAGTGGCGTTCTTCTATTTTATTATGTGTATAAGTAAATACATCTCACAGTTCGGCCCCGTTTCTCCTGACAAAGTTGAAGAAAATGTGTTTTAACAGTTTTGTGACTCACAGGAACCCAGTGAAGACGTGACCATGTTAGAAGCAACAGTGTCTTCCTCGGTGGATCACAGAGTACGTTTGACAGGTTCTTTAATTAATAAACCGTCTGTTTGTAAACAGTTTACTCAAATTTAAACTCTTCCAACAACTCAGCCATAAATCAGAGCGAGAACATTAATTAATATAATTTAAATTTCTCATTCACAGCATCTTTTATAAGAAACAAAACATTTTCAACACTTTTTTACAAAAATGCTTTAACTGAGTTTGATTTACTGACACTGAGCCACATTTATTCTGGTAGTAGCTGAGAGTCATCCACAAATCAAACTGAGGGCTAACAGATGGTATGAAATCTCACCGTACTGTGTGAAAATCTGCACCACGTTTTACTAACACATTAAAAAGGCTCCATTATTTAATCCTGCGCCTCCCTGGGCAGCCTTTCAGTTTGAGTGCTTATGACCCGCAGAGTGCACGGCTGTTCGTTTGCATCCATTTCTGAAAATCCAGCTTGTTGTTACAGATTGTAAAACTTTCTTTTTGCCACACTGTATCCTCAATGGCTCAGTTTGCACCCAACTTGGTCGTTGCCCCCACATTTATGATTTAATCGACTGGAGTATACTTTAGAAATAAAGAGAAGTCAGATTTGGACCAGGTTTTAAATAATCGTTATTTATCATGGGAGTGGTTTTTAGAGGGGACTTGGAAATTCCCTCTGTCCGTCAGTTTGTCTCCTGAACGCGATAACTTGAAAAACAAGCGAAGTACCGACTTCCATTTTGGTGTGTGGCTGCATGTAGGTGTGGGAAAGTGTCCTTTTGAAAACTGAGTTGCCTGTCACGATAATGAATTTTGCTGGGCGATTAATTGTCTCAGAAATTATTGCTATGAACGATAATATTGTTTGAAATTTGACAATAATTGGTAATTATTGTCAAATCTTAGAAGAAATCTTTCTTCATTTTATTTTGAGTGTAGTACCTTTTTTGACCACCTGATGGCGGTCTTGACTGTTTGAACCGAAGGATGGATAGTGAGGGAGTGAGCAGTGTGTCTCTTTAAGAAAAATGGGAGGGAGGCCCCTTGACGTGACATGGGCTGGTTCTTCTTTTTTTTCCCCCAGTTCTCAAAATGGCGGACTCCCGGTGTGGTTTGAGTTCTTTAGCATAACATTTTTCACACAAAGCTTTTAATAAAATATCAGTAAACAAGTTCTCAGCTTCTTTTTGCAGAGAAAAACAACTTCTTACACGAAGGCACAGGTTTCAACTGAATTTTTGGAGCTTCGGCAAGACGGAGGTTTTTTCCCTGAGGTCGGCCTGTTAGCATAGCTCGTAGCTTAGCTTCTCAGCTTAGCGGCTTTTAATGATCCAAAAACGCAATTTTGGACGGTTAAAACGGATTTTAAAGAGAAAAGAGGAAAAAAGAGAATGGGAGGGTCAGTGAAGAGCACCGGAGTTGATCCTTTTTGTCATCCATTGTCTTGAGTAGAAAGAGACACATGAAGAATCTAAATCCAATAAATGATAATGAGGTCGATAATTTTCATTCATCATGCGATTAATTGATTTATTGTTTATCGCGACAGGCCTAGTTGCAACGTCAAAATCCAAGATGGCTGCCGCCCCGACCTATCAACAGAACCGAGCACTCTGCCTGCCGAACTGCCCCACCCGACAACTGACGTAGCGCTAAGTTAGCGGCGCGCAATACATACGCGCTAGCTAAAACGCTACAGAAGTAGCACCATGGGTAGCGCTCCGACTCCCACTGAGCGCGCCGCACCCTACCCCCCCCACACGAAAACTGGTGTATATGTAGGAAACTATATGATCAGACTATGCTTTCTGGTTTTTATAATGCTTTAAAAGTATAACAACAAAACAGCTTAAATATATACTGTAGTTTCCTCAAAGGATTGGGTGGCCGAAGGTTAATCTTTGGTGGCCATATTGGACCCTGTGGCTCCTCCATTGGGCCTGGTGGGGATAAATTAGCTTTTTCCAGGATCTGCCTCTCTGCTCTGCCTGACAAGAAGAAAAAATGCTCCCTCTGTTCTTCTCTACAGTGTAACTCCTTCCTGCTTGAATATCTTACACCAAAAACATTTAGGTTAACCAAAAACACCCATCTTCAAAACTACAAACATTCACTGTTCAAATCTTTCATTGACTGCGGGGGGCATCAAGCTCTTGTTTAGATTATAAAACAGCTTGTTTATATTTCAGGTTGAAGACTCAGAAGAATCCTCCAGTTACGATGAATCTTCTGGTGAAGAATATGTCTGCGACGAAAAACCAGACAGCGACTACAGTTTTTCAGACCCCGAACCTTCGCAGGAAATTTCATCTACGCTACAGAACAACCAGACTGATGCCTCGGACTCTGACATGTCCATCGGTCCCTCCTGCACTAACAAGAACTTCTGTTTTGTTTGTGGAGAAGCTCGGAGAAAAATGTCCCGTCACCTTTTCATCCACAGAAAGACGGACCCTGAGATTGCGGAAGCGTTTGCTTTACCCAAACTAAGCAAGGCGCGAAAAAAACTTCTGATGAAGTTGCTCCACAGAGGGAACCACAAACACAACCAGGAAGTCTTGAAGACCCAGAAAGGATGTCTGAAGGCCAGAATGACGTCGGACGAGTTTTCGCTAAAAAAGTCAGCTGCTTGTATTTACTGTAAAGTCTTGTACAATCGTAGTGTTTTTTGGTCACATCTACAAAAGTGTCCTTCAAAGATCTCAGCCCCTCCAGCAGGATGTAGATCACAGATCCTGGCTTTGGTATCCACAGGTTTAACGAACCCCAAACACATGCCGTCAGGTTTGAAGAAGATTTTTAAAAAACTGAAGGAAGAGGAGACTGACCATTCAGTATTAAAGGATACTTTTGCACTGCAGCTGGCGCAGTGTTTGTACTACTTTAGCGAGGGCAAGTCCAAAGATTCAGAAATTAAGATGAAGCTGAAGCTGATTGGAAATCTTCTGTCTGCCTTAAAAGAAAAGTCCATATTCAGCTTTGGGGACGCTCTAAAACCTCAGAACTTCAACAACGTTGTTGAAGCTGTCAGGAATCTCGTAGGTCCTAACAAAGACACGATGGCCTACAAAAGACGCTTGTCAAAACTGGTGTCCTCGCTTAGGAAGATGGCCGACATTAAATATGCCACTTCTCTGAATGAAGGAACCAACATGGAGATGATGCAGGAAACAGAGGAGTTTATAAAACTGTTCGTAAAAGAGTGGCACTCAAACATACCGGTTCAGCTGAGAGTACCCTGCCCGTCAACCCTACCCTTCATTCACGATGTTCAGATTCTTTTCAAACACATCGAGGACATCGTAACTTCTGCCATTGAAAGTCTGACCATGTATGCAAGTCCGCCTGTCTATACCGCACTGCTCAAAGTGACTGTCGCCTACGTGACTATCTTAAATCGAACTGTCCAAGAAGTCTCGGATGTGACCCTCGAGTCGTTCCAGAA